TCTGAACAGAGAATTGAGCGGGATCCTTGCAGATGCTTATCTGAGATCTATCTGTATTGCTAAAGCATCACGTACTTTTCTGGCATGACTTAAAATAATCTCAAATAAAATAAAATAAAATAATCACTAACATTAAGCCTTACAGCTATTTAAGGGGAAGCTGATGCATTGATGCTCTGAATCCTCTGGTGAAATTCTGCTAGCAGTAATGGTGTGAAGCCTTCCAGCCACAGGATTCTTCTTGTCTCTGGGAGGGAGGTGGCATGGTTTTCTCAGGTGGTGAAGGAAAAGGCCGGGGTGACGACGGCTCTCTGCTGTCCCAGTGCCAAACAGCCATTGGGCAAGGAGAGAGGTGTGAGTGTGAAAGAGAGAGAACGTGGGAAGAAAATCCAGGAAATATTTTTTTCTTGATATTTACTGATTACACGTTTTCTATGTGTACATTGTTGAGATCAGTTTTCTTTACAATCAGATCTTGCCCGTCTTTTCTTTTTGGCCTCTCTTTCCTACTTTCCCATGTTAGGGATTGCAGTTATATGGGGAGAAAAAAAATACCCTAAAATCATTTTTCTGCCTTTTTTTCATTAAATGGACTAACGGACATAAATCAGACACAAGTTTTGCCCACAGATTATCCTCCAAAAATCTCATTTTGAATAGGACTTCTATGTGGCTGTGTCGTGGTTTGAGCCTGGTCAGAAGCCGACCACCCCGCAGCCACTCACCCACCCTCCCCCCAACCTGGGAATGGGGGAGGGAATTGGAGGGGTGAAGGGAGACTCGCAGGTTGAGATAGAAACAGTTTAATAACGGTAAGAAAATGAAAACAGTGACAGTAATAGAAAGTATAAACGGGCAATGCACAATGCAATTGCTCAGCACGCAGCCGTTCCCGGCCAGCGATCCCGAAATACCAAGATCCAGCAATCACAATCCCAGGAGTGAGAGAGCCCCCCTTCCCGACCACCCCTCCTCTATACAGTGAGGATGAGATGGACGTTCCATGCTATGGAATATTTCACTGGCCAGTTTGGGTCCGGTGCTCTGTCCGTGCTCCCTCCCTGCTCCCTGTGCCCTCGCGCACGGGCAGGACAGGGGGAGTCGGAGAGTCCTTGAAGTCTCAGCAGCAGCCCGAAAACATCAGTGTTTTGTCAGCGTTCTTCTCATACCAAACCCCATGCTGAATCCAAAACACAGCACTATTCTAGTTACCAAAAAGAAGCATTAACTCTATTCCAACTCAAACCAGGGCAGGCTGGTAGATCTTTAGAGAGAGAACTTTCCAGATCTTTGTGAAAATCAGAGGGAGTGCCAGAAATGGGGGAAAAATATCCCTTTAGCTACTTTTACTCAGCAGGCTAATATTTTATAGCTAAATACTTGTTGTCATAGCTGTCTGTACACAAAGAGACTGCTTCTGTTATTAAAAAAAAAAAAATTACTAAATTAATTGTAGGAAATGCTTATTTATGCTAGAGTATCTGGTAGCAGTAGAAAACCTGTTTTCCATCATATTTGTATTACTTGACAAAATGTTTATTTAAAAGTTGTCTACTATAAACTGAAAATTATTTATGTATGTTGTATTACATACTGTGTATGCCCAAGTGAGGAATGTGAAGGGAAAGACCTTTTAATCTGCTACTTCAGGCATTGAAAACTAAAGTGACTGGACATTGCAGACGTAACTGAAATATTGTACATCCCTGTCACCTCGTTCCTCCCCTCCTAGATAAGCTCAGACATAGGAAATAGGCAAGCGGTGCATCGGTCACCAGTGCAGTATTGGCACCCTCAACTTAGAGCAAGCTTGAGTTCACATGTTGAACGTGCCACATGCATGATGTGCTTCAGGGTGGCAAGGTGAGCCCTTTTAGGACAAAATCTGATAATCCGAGACAAAAGGGTTAAAAAGTGTGAGGAGAAAACCACCTTTCCCCTTACATGCATCAGCAAAGGCTCTCCTCACCGCTAACCAGTGTCTGGGGGTCGTTGGGTACAGGGGGTCCAGGGATGGAGCATCCATGGAAAGGCTGACTGTAGGAGCAGCTGTGGAGTGACTGTTTTGAGCCAGGAACGAAGAGGGATTTGTTTCTCTTGACAGCCAAGCACGATCTGTTGTGCTGTTGGGTCAACATTTGGCCACACATCGTTCTTGCTTTATAATTTATACTGTATGTTAGACATGAGAGTATAGCTTTGTGTGTATGTATACACACCTCTGCAAAGGGGTAGAGAGAATAAACATGACTCTCAAGCCTCTAAAACAGATTTTTTTTTTTTTTTTTGTATACTAGGCATCTATGATGGATCAGATTGCTTCCACAAGACATCAAGAGGATGTCTTTGCAATTTTTTTAAGGTGTCTCACTATGGCTGGGATCCTTAATCACCAGGGTTTGGGGGCTGTGTCCATGCTTTAGATAGTTGCTTGGAAAACATGCCAAGCTGGTAATAAAATGTGAAGTAAATATTTTTCCTAACCTCCTTTCTACTTACTCATACAGCCATGCTTGTATTTTGATGTCACTATTTAATCCAGATAATTATGCGTGACTACTGTCCCATTTCTTTGGGATTTTTTCAGTTTGGGAATTTTCTTTTTTGCAGAGTAATGTATGTGTGTAGAATTGCTGCTGGAAATATGAGAGACTCGGATTTCTGGAGAAGGCGGCCTTCTGGGTTGCTTTCAGATTATGCCATTTGTTTCACTGGCATCAACATGCAGGAAAATGAGAATTTACAGAATTAGAACACGGTGATGAATTTACCATTTTCATTTAAACTGCTTAAAGTCATGCTGCAGCTGAAAAAATCAAATGTTTAAGTCTAATTTAATAGTATGCGGTTAATTAATACTTTCTGTTTTTAATGTTAGTAGATGTATCTGCAGAACCACTATTCCCTGGAGTAATTTGTCACCCAAAATAAAATGTCTGCCTTTGAACTGAAGTAGCTTTTGGGTAGTGCACTATGAGCGAGGGGACCCATGTTAATGATACAGACTAATCCAGAAGAGTGGGTTTGAAGTTCTTCGTGTTGCTGTCTCACCGTTCTAAAAACAATAGTAGTTGTCTCAGGTACTGTTGTGACAGCAGACGCCTTCTTCACTAGGTGACAGAAACTCCCATCAATTCTAAATTACTGACTAGAACATGGTAACTGTGTATGTCCACAAGTGCTTCCCAGATTATAAAATGTTCACAGCATGGGAGACCCTGGTTTTTGATTTAAAAAAGATGCATTTTCTGTTTACAAGGAATACCAATCTTTATCCTATGAAGTGAACTCTCTTTTCAAACAGTGAATAAATGTACCTTGGAAAAGAAGCAGCAAAGACAGGATTAGATGCATAGCAAATGCAACCCTATGTACCTCGTTCCCCCACATGCTTCCTTCCTCCTTCTATTCCTGTATCTCTAGTGTAACCTTTTGCATTATTAGCTTCAATCTTGCCAGCGCTTCCTATAAGGTGTGGCATTCCCACTGGAGCTATTTTTGATTATAAGCCCTGTTTAACACAGTAAGTGAGGATTTGGGTCAACAGATTGTAAGCATTGTAGGGCAGTGTCTGCAAAGTGACAGCATATTCTAGGGGTACAGACATGCCAGCTGAATTTATTCTCTGTACATTTTCTGTGCAACAGAATCCTAAAACACGATAATAGGTCTCGTAATTATTCCACAAAAATTGCTATTAATAAACAAAATACTCTATTTTTTCAGGACTTACTGTTCTCTGCTACCACAGCCTTAATAAAGCCAGGGTTAAATAACTGCTTGGCTGGACAAAGGAGCTATGATTTTTCTTCCGCTTAATTTGAGTTCAAAAGGATGATTTGACTTTTGATCATGTGAAAAGCATTTCATAGCATACTGGAAAGCTGTCTGGTTTTGTATCTAACAGACTTGACAGCATGGTTGGCAACAGACAGATAATGGAAGGCTAATGAATAATGAAAAGCTGAGTGATTGAAATAGCAGAGCTGCAGGGAGAGAAGAGGGAAAGACAGTGGGAAAAACAAAGAGCATAGAAGTAAGGAATAACCAGTATTTTGATCATTACCAGCGCATGCCTTCACATCAAATTTAACCCAGTCATAACTTAGGCATTCTCCGTCTGCCACCTCACAAGAGCTCTTAACTCACACCAGGACGCATTTTGTACAAGTCACTCAGCTTGGCTTGAGGAAGGAGGGTAGGTTGGAATTTAAATATTTTTTCAACTGCTAGGATGCTGACTACTCTGCAGTAACCTTCTCGTGTCCCATTAGCTGCCCAGTGCATTCCTGAATTCCTTCCAGAGTGGGTGTGCATAGTACCTCACAGCCTACTGCAAAAACCAGAGCAGAGCAGTAGCATCGGAAGCTATCAGTTGTACTGAGAGACACTGTGACACTTAGTTTGTATTTACACTTCAGTGAAGACATCTCTATTTTGGTAACAGGGATAACGCCATTTTCATGGCTCTCGCTCTTCAGATCTCCAGCAGGGAGGAAGAGTTGTTACTCATTCCATCTAGTCTCTCCAGACGGGATACAGGCTCTGGGGCAACTGTGCTTTAAGAAAGATTCCTCTGTGCATGTAACAAGAATTACTGGGGATGAGACTTAACTCCGCGTGTCAAAAGTGAGAAGCCTATCTCCTGATGTTAAAAGAGCATGGCACTCTAGCAGTTGGATAGCCACAGTGTTTGTGTCTGGATGCACGCATGACCGAGGAAGCCAGCTACTATTAGTTTCCTCACAGACTGCCAGTTGTGGCTGAGCTTAGCGGTGCAAAGCTTACTCTTGCACTTGTTTTCGTAAGAATTATGGAATAGGAGTTGAATTACCACTGTATTTCTTGCTATGCCTTTTCATATGTCTTTTTTTGCAACGTCAAGTGGAAAAAGATCTGCTACTTTCTCATTCTGATGTACTACTTTTCCTGAGCTTTGGTATCATGAAAAAATGAATAATACTGTAAATACCATCCTTTCTTTTTCTTCTTCTTCACAGAATCTGTACCAAAACAGGTTCCTGGGCCTGGCAGCCATGGCATCTCCATCTAGGAACTCACAAAATCGGCGCCGGTGCAAAGAGCCTCTCAGATACAGCTATAACCCTGACCAGTTCCATAACATGGACATCAGGAACAATTCCCACGAGACGGTCACCATTCCTAGGTCTACCAGTGACACGGACCTTGTCACTTCAGACAGCCGGTCTACCCTGATGGTCAGCAGCTCCTACTACTCCATCGGGCATTCGCAGGACCTAGTGATATACTGGGATATAAAGGAGGAAGTGGATGCAGGGGACTGGATCGGCATGTATCTCATAGGTAAGTCTCCCTGCCCCTTTGGGTTTCTTGCTGCTTTTTTCACTTGTAAGCATTAGGGTAGTATGGGCTAATGGTAATAATGAGCTGACGCAGCTCCACTGAGTGTAGTACTTAAATGGGTTTATATATTACAAGATTTTTTCTGCTCTTCAATTGCTGGTTGCAGTCCTGGTGCTCACTTTTTTTTTTTATTATTTCAGCAGAGATATGCAAAGCCTTTCTGTTGATGGTTTCTTGAAATTTCAAGAAATTTTCATTTTAAAGCCATTTAGATTTGGGGAAAATACCACCTGTATAAAGACAGTGTAATATTTTCAGGGTTTCTTCTTGTGAGTCCTTGAATAATCTGTGGCAGATGAGAGGTTTTACAAGTCAAGAATATGAATCATTTAAAAACCTCGTGAAAGAGAATGCCTGTTTTTATATAGCCAAAGGATATTTTGATATTTTGATTGTAGACTGAGGCACTCTGGAGTTAGCCCAGAAGGTTTTTCTTTTTTTCTGGGGTGTATTGGAAGCTGTAGTCACCCATGTACATTAGCCTACTTTTGGCACCTCCATCTAGTAAATCCAGTGCCACATAAGAGTAATAAGAAATAGTTTAAATCCACTTTTAACTGATTGTTTCACTTCACTATAAAATTAGCATTTTTTTAACCTGGTTTGGTTCCTATGGAAATACTCCTGCTGCCTAGACTGAAGTTTGTGTTAACTCTTTGCCCTCTGGTAAGTTTTGAACATAGAGGATTGGTTTCAGACACATTCCTCTTTGGATTAGAGGTCTTAAAAATGTGAAGTTCTTAAATGTTTCTGGAAAACCAGTGACTTGGTAAAGAAGACAGACTAAAATTGGTGCCTCCACAAAGGGAAATGTTGGTAGAACATGGCCCTTGTCTGTTTGGACAAGTGTGCCTAGAAGTAAGCCAGTATGTTAATAGCAGTATTGTAATATTTAGTTACAATAGCACTGTTTCCTCTTGCCTGGATAGCAAACCACAACCAAGTAAAGCGTATGATGCTGTGAGGTGGGCTTCTGGAGCAGTCATAGGGGGTATCGTAGGGAGCTATGGTGTTACTTCAGTGCTTCAGTGAATAAACCGGAGGCCTGGCATTGCATGCTGAGGATGTTGGGAACACAGATGTTGGCGACATAAGGGATGTGAGAAGGCACTGGATGGGAGGTCTGAGCACGTAGAGGAACCCTGGTGGGGTGACCCAGTGTCAGGCACTGGAAAATGAGTTCGGGGTATTGGAGAGACTGGGAGAAGGGGAACATGAGCGTGGCTATTTCAGACATGGAGGGAAAGGAGTGGGTGTGACAGTATGCCAGGCTGCAGTACTTGTTCCTCACAGAATACCCTGCTTTGGAAATAAAAGTAGGCTTCTGAAATTTAAAATCTTTTAGGAAAAAAACAGAGACTAGATTTAAAACAAACGCTCTGCAAGCAGTCTGGTTTGTTGGCCTTAACAGAATTGCTTGTGTTTATAGTTAAGTTTGACATTTTGAGTGTTTTAATGGAACAGAGGAGAACACACCTCCAGTACTAGGCACTAAGAAATGCTCTAAGCTTATTCTGCAGTAGCACAGGCAACTCATGAAGGACTGCATTGCTTCAGTAAAAAGAGGGAAAGTGTACCTTCTGGTGGTCAGGAGTCAACAGAAAGTGCATAGAGCTGTTTCACATTGAATGAACTTCTTCAGCCAGGTTTCATAGCTCAGACATTGTATCGAAGGCTGTGAAGACATGTTCTAAATTTTTTTTTGATAGGTAACCTGATGTCGTGGTTTGAGCCTGGTCGGCAGCCGACCACCCCGCAGCCACTCACCCACCTTCCCCCCAAGCTGGGAATGGGGGAGGGAATTGGAGGGGTGAAGGGAGACTCGCAGGTTGAGATAGAAACAGTTTAATAACAGTACAAAAATGAAAACAGTGACAGTAATAGAAAGTATAAACGGGCAATGCACAATGCAATTGCTCAGCACGCAGCCGTTCCCAGCCAGCGATCCTGAAATACCAAGATCCAGCAATCACAATCCCAGGAGTGAGAGAGCCCCCCTTCCCGACCACCCCTCCTCTATACAGTGAGGATGAGATGGACGTTCCATGCCATGGAATATTTCACGGGCCAGTTTGGGTCTGGTGCTCTGTCCGTGCTCCCTCCCTGCTCCCTGTGCCCTCGCGCACGGGCAGGGCAGGGGAGTCGGAGAGTCCTTGAAGTCTCAGCAGCAGCCGAAAACATCAGTGTTTTGTCAGCATTCTTCTCATACCAAACCCCATGCTGAATCCAAAACACAGCACTATTCTAGTTACCAAAAAGGAACATTAGCTCTATTCCAACCCAGTCCGGGACACCTGAATCCATAGAGGTTTAACTGAGCAAAAGAAAAATCCACACAGCTACTCCTGCTTAATGTACCGTATCAAAGAGCATGTTGCTTCAGACAACCCAGTAAATCAGAAGTGCAAATTGTGAAGTGTATCTTTGCCTAGGCTGGCTGAATGCCTGGTGTTAATGGCAGTAGTCAATGGCTCATTCCAAGGAACACTGCTGCCAAATGAAAGGTGCATAATGTGTCATGTCCCCAGGAAACCAACAGTTAACCCTTCGTGTCGTTGAAGGTGTTTTGTCTCCAGCCTCTGAGGTTCCCAATCTAAATAGCAGGCAGCAGCACCCTCATTCCTTTTTTTCTCTTCCTTTCCCCTCTTCCCGCTTCTCCCCTCCGTAAACCTCATGTAAAGTGAGCTTTGGTGTTTTGGTTGCCTTAAAGAAAGAACATGGGAGACTGTGAAGATCACTTGCATTTTGGTGTTAGTTTGACATGGAAAACACTCGGAATCTAAGAAGGTAACTGGCACTGTGGCTATATCCACATTAACAAAGTAGGGGGGACCTGTAGGAATGGGTCTGTAGAAGCAAACATCTGCTGAATGCATTCTGGGGGCTTGGCTTTAGAACAGTCTCAGTCTGACAGACTGAATGCCCTGGAGGCACTGGAGTGCATCTCTCAGTTTGGCTTCACCGGGACAGAATGGAGTTTGTGTGCCCAAAGATCACCACGCAGTCTGGTGGTGACAAGGTGGGGACAATTGGAAGGGTCATTACAAAAGCACGCTTCTGGCCTGAAAAAAAACGTTGAAGCATCCTGTATTCCGTGTTTGTGACCAATTCATAGGGTTAGGAGATCCAGACATCCCTCATGGCTTAGATCTGTGTGTGCATTTGCACAGATTTTACGAGCCTGAGCTCCTGTTTAGAGAGGAAACGTTACTGGCCTTGTGGGTATGACCTTCACAATGTAAACTGATATATGACTATGTTTTGAATTAGCAGCCAGACTGGAACAAGAGAACCACAGAAACTATGAGCTTTTCCCAGTCTGCTCAATAGAGGATTAGTGTTGAAGCCTATTATTACCACCTGCACAGCAACATTATTAACTATTGCACTGCTGCTGGTCATCCTAGTGTTTGTCTCAAAGCCAGCTTGTAGGTACAGTCCCATCAGTTTTGTGATTGTTTGGGTTGGTAAAATTTCAGCTGAAAGGTTTGAATGTAGAAATGTTTAATATTGTGGTGAGTCATGTGAACAATGAAAAATTATTTGCATCCTTGGGGTATCAGGCAATGTGATGTGGATTTTCTTTAAAACTCAGTTTGGGAGTGTTACAGTTGGTATTTGTTATTTGTCTTGTTGGAGCTCCTGGGTATCCCAGGACGGGACTACGCAGAAGCAGAACAGAAGGCAGGTCTCACCTTAGAGGAGTTCAGTCGTTGCCATTGTAGTATTCTGGGAAATACTGCAAAATAATTTTATATGAGTGTTGGGTTTGAAATGCATAAAACTTTGATGATACCCAATAAACTGCAGGCTTCAGAACAAAGAAGTTCTAAGTCTGGAGAAATATAGATGATATAAAAGGCTTCCAAAAGAAAAAGAGGAAAAATCATGTAGCTTATGTGTTTTGATACTGTAGGACATTTCAGGATGCTATTCAAAGGTTAAAGTAGACTGAAAAAAGACTTAAAGGAGTCCTTTCTGTATGGGAATTCTGGCTGCTTGCTCTTCATGTGAAGGAGATACAGCTGCTTTTATCACGAAGTACCTGTTTTTCTCCTCTTCAATCCATGTGCACATTCCTCAGGGTGACCAACTGGGAAGCAGTCTTTGCATTAGCAGGTAAAAGCTGGATTTAGAATTGGTTATTAGAGTGAACTTTTGCTCATGGTCTCAGGAAGTGGACTAAGCAGCCAGTCAATCTCTTCTAAAACAGTGTAAAAAATGGTGGTCGTGTGTCTCGTGGCAAAAAACAGTTGAATACATCCACCCTGTAGCTGCATGAAAGCATCCATGCACACCTATGTGATTTTGATGAAGGGCCATAGAAAAACTCCCTACTTTAAGGGAGAATAGTAAATGTTGACACTGTTGAAATATAGATGTTCTTACTTCAGTGCGTTCTAAGATTAGCTATGGTAAGATGACCAAAAATACGGGAAATGGAAGAACAAGCCTTTCTGGGTGCCTTCAGGAGTAGGAATTACATTTCATTTGTGCTAAGCCTGAACCCTAGAGATGTTCTCACTTCCCCTTGTATATACAATATATCAGCCCTGAGCTATGCAGAGGAACCTGTAAATTCTGTAACAACTCACCTGAGCTGTGCATTTGCCTTCCCTCAAGAGAACTATGGTATTATGAACATCAGCAGCCTTTCAGAAACATGCCCACAATCAAAAATGCATGTAAACACTCAAAAAGAATTCTCTGATAAATTCAGACATAATACAGCTCTGTTGCTGTTTTAAAATCTCTGGAATTTGAGTTTTCTTTGCAGAAAAGCAATATGTAAAGAAAGTGCACAGTGGTGGTGGTGGGGAAATAAGTGAAACCAAAACAAAGTTATGAATAATGAAGATAATGTGTTTCTGTATTTTTTTAAAAAGAACTCTCATTTAGTGGCTACTGTGAGACAGATAGAATATTTGCAGTTATTTATC